CCAGGGCTCGGTTCTGGGGCCGGTCTTGTTCAATATCTTTATCGATGATCTGGATGAGGGGATCGAGTGCTCCCTCAGGAAGTTTGCAGATGACACCAAGTTGGGTGAGAGTGTTGATCTGCTGGAGGGTAGGAGGGCTCTGCAGAGGGATCTGGACCGGCTGGATCGATGGGCTGAGGTCAGCTGTATGAGGTTTAACAAGGCCAAGTGCCGAGTCCTGCACTTGGCTCACAACAACCCCATGCAACGCTACAGGCTTGGGGAGGAGTGGCTGGAGAGCTGCCCGTCAGAAAGGGACCTGGGGGTGCTGGTCAACAGCCGGCTGAATACGAGCCCAGGTGTGCCCAGGTGGCCAAGAAGGCCAACAGTGTCCTGGCCTGTATCAGAACGAGTGTGGCCAGCAGGAGTAGGGAAGTGATTGTGCCCCTGTACTCGGCACTGGTGAGGCCGCACCTTGAATCCTGTGTTCAGTTTTGGGGCCCTCACTACAAGAAGGACATTGAGGTGCTGGAGTGTGACCAGATAAGGGCAACGAAGCTGGTGAGGGGTCTGGAGCACAAGTCTTATGAGGAGCGGCTGAGGGAACTGGGGTTGTTCAGTCTGGAGAAGAGGAGGCTCTCTACAAGAAAGAGACCTTATTGCTCTCTACAGCTACCTGAAAGGGGGATGTGGCGACAAGGGTGTTGGTCTCTTCTCCCAAGTAACTAGTGATAGGATAAGAAGAAATGGCCTCAAGTTGCACCAGAGGAGGTTTAGATTAGGTGTTAGGAAAAATTTCTTCACCGAGAGAGTGGTCAAGCATTGGAACAGGCTCCTCAGGGAGGTGGCGGAGTGACCATCTCTGGAAGTATTCAAAAAACATGTAGATCTGGCACTTCAGGACATGGTTTAGGAGACATGGTGGCGTTAGATTAATGGTTAGACTTGATGATCTTGAAGGTCCTTTCCAACCTTAGTAATTCTGTGATTCTGTGATTCTGTGTTTTGTTCTGATGAAAGACTCTGAGAATTAAGGTGCTGTGACAGCCCTATGTGTCTCTTCTGTGCACACTCTTTTGTGGCTTTCAGTCTGGCATTTACAATCCATCTTTTTTCTGAATGCATCTTGGCCCTTGATGTTCCAAACAGAGCCTGCAGGTCCATGCAATGCTTTTTGTAGGCTCCAGCTTGAACTCCATATGCTTGTCTGCCTCAGGTACTTTCTCTCTTTTATGAGTGTGGATTTTCTTTCCTTGTGTATTTTACCCTTTTTTTATCATGTTTTAGATTTTCTGCCATCTTTACAGTGCCAGGCCACTGCTTACCCTGTTTAGGTTGTTGTCTGCATTTCTCATGTTTTGCATTTTGTTTGCTTTGTCAAAGGCTGATTTTTGTGTGATCCAATCATCTGTTTTTGAGTGTTTGGCAGAGCTAGTCTCTTTTCACGGATATTGCCAGATTGGATCTTCAGCCTTGGACCTGTCACTAACTGATCAGTGTTTTCACTGATTCACACAATTTATGCTTTTTATTTTGTGATGGATGGCAGGACTTCTCAAACTCTCTGTAGTACAGTGGTAGCTAAGCTTTTGTGCTTGAGGAGAAGCAAACCTGATAAAAGTAGTAAGTCCTTCAGAACCAGCCATGATCAGAAACTGGGCCCTCCCCTGACTCCTTTCTTTATTTCTTGGTGGCACCACTCTGCTGTGGATATAGACTGAAGTAGTAGTTAGATCTTCTTCAGTCACACCATTTTTTTGAGAGGTTCAGCCTCTTAACTGCTCCATTCTCCCCCTCAGGGCCATTGCTTGGTTCGCTCTTCTCCAGCTACCATGTTATTTGGAAATCAGCCACAGCCAGCGAGGCCACCGAACCTGCACGGCTTGGTGCCCATGTGCATATGGAGCAGCACTGCCCGCTCGCGGGTGCACAGCCCGTCCTGGCTCCATCAAGGGGCACGCTTGCAAAGGCTGCCTAGTAGAGATGAAAGCAAATGTGCCCAAAGCCCATAATTAGTCCGTGTAGTTACTTTCATATATTAAATTGTTTCTAGGGGTCTATTTTCAAGTGAGGTAATCTGGAGAAGCTGGATCTGAATCTGCACTGAAGAAAAAAAAAAGCCTCTATAAGCCACGAGTTCCCATTTTGAGTAGGTTTTTGCAAATATTTGTTCAGAGGTGAGAATATTGGAATTCTTTGCTCATCTTTCCATGTTTCTATAATGCAGAGCTCATCACCCTGGGTCCTCTGGGATTCCGTCTATCTAATAATATCATGGTTGCTTGTGATCTCTACTGTGTCTGATGGGAGGAGTGAGGTGGTTCAACACAAAAGGAGTATTACCCTCTTCACGGCTGCTCAATCTTTCTCGCTCTCTCAGTCTAATATGAAATAAGTATTGCACATACACTTTTCTGACTGTCATAAAGTATCCTGTGGAGCTCAGCTAAAGCAATGAGAGCTATGATAACTCCTCATGTGTTTATTGGAGCAGCAGCCAACCTACTGATGGCAGCTGTAGCAATATCCAGTGGAGACATCTGAGTTAGTCAATGCTGAATTGCTCAGGGACTAAAGGGAGAGCAAACAGCTATGCGCTATCTTTACAAGAAGAAAACCAGATTGTTCTTTTTTAGTTAAAGGGCAGCAGCTCTATTGGTCTTCTGCTTTGTACCAGGTTGGTTTAAAGGATGCATAAACAGCATGTCCTTTCACCTGACTGTAGTTGATATTTGTGTGGCACTATAATCCAGAATATCTCTGTGCTAATCACCATCCTGGTGTGCAACAGAAAGGCGGTAGCCTGCTGGGAGAGTTTAGAGCCTGAGTACAACAGCCCCCCTGATCCTATGTAGTACTCTCAGCAAGGGAAACCAGGCAATGTTGTCACATCCAGCCTGCTGAAAACATCTGCCACGTGATTTTTAATTTTTTTTTTTTTTTAAACCTAGATTCTTCTGCATAGGGTTAAAAATGTACATCAGTACCTGCCTTCTTCAGGGGAGCAGTTGGGGATTTCCTGGTGTCCATCTCAATTGTGAGAGCATTGCACAAGGAACAGACAGGTTTGCCTGGACATGTCTTCACAACAGATTAAACTTAACCAGTTGTTCAGTGTTACTCTTGTTCATCCTCCTGTCCTGACACAAACCCGTTGTTCTGTGGTGCTCTACTGAGGCTTTGCGTTTAGGCTAGAACCAGAGCAGTCTATGCTCAGGGTGGGCTCCCAGTGACTTCCAGTGAGGTGATAGCCAAGTGCTTGTCACCTGCAAGTGCTGGAGCAGAGTTGATAAATCTATCCCAGACTCAGGAAGGGATGCTTATTAGCCCAGGCTATGGTCATGACTGGCATTGATCCTGAGAGCATTATGAAAATCACTTGGCTAATAGTTGCATTCTGATACAACACCTGGCAAAAAAAAATTTTAAAAATTCTTTCCCTCCCTCCCAACTGCAAGGAGAGCTGTGGAGTAGAGAATGTCACTTTCTGTGCGAGTTCTGCAGGCAATGGCAATATTTCAGTACAGGCCATCTCAATTATTAATTGCTACTGTATAGCCTGAGGTCAGGTTTTAAATATCTCCCATTGCCTGAGACCATTCTGGTTACCTTGGTTAAAAAGAAAAAAAAAAAAAAGAAAAAGAAAATACTACTTTAAACTGAACAAGAGGCAAGAAAGGGCTATTAGAGGGATGGTGGGACGGAAAATCTGTCTTCTCAGAGGAGATAAAGAGAATTTGTTTCTTCTAGATTTTTGTCAAAAATGTGACCAGACAAGGGCAAAATTAACCTTGCAAACCCTTTGAGGAAGGAAGAAATGGAAATGAGAAAAAAAAGTATTTTAAGTAGCAGACAGTGTTAGTAGCAGAGCAAATGAATACACTCACCATGGATTGGGAGTGGAAATGAGAATAAGCTTTCTCACCACGAGGGGGGAAATGAAATTCTGAGATGGGATTCCAGAAAGAGTACTTCCACCTCACTTCAGGTCAGAGCTCGGTAAATTGTTGGAAGGAACTGCACAGCATCAGAAGAACATCTGATGTTCTGTGCTCAATGTAATTCTGTCTACAAATGGAACTGAAAGAAAACTTAATCAGCATGTGTCTGCTGCATTGCCTATATATATAATTAATTAATCCCATGCCTCAAAGCTTCTACTTATCTTCAGGGATCAGGAGGAATTTTCCTTCTTCTGCATAACTTGGCTTTTGTTTTGGTTTGCTTTATTCTTCCCCACTGCCCCCACTTATGAAACAGCAGAGAATGACCACAGCAAGAATGGAGAAGGGAGGGTGTTTTTGGCAAGGCAAACTGCAGTTCCAGGTTTTGCTGAGGAAGCTCTGAAACACTTGGTTAAATTGCCTTGTTCCTGCTCTCAAACTCCTGAACATCACAGACAAAAAGGCATTTTTTCCTGCCGGGTCAGAATCAGTAGGCTCGTTTCAGCATGGGGCAGGGATTACCACTGTTAATTTGCCATCTTTCCAATTTCTTCAGGTTTTCTGTTACTTCAGAAAACTCAAATGCTGGTTGCACTTTGACGTCTCCTGGACTCTCCCTAGGCACCTTCTAGGATCTATGGTTTTTTGCCTTCTGCTGTAGTCTGTTGATCCTATGGGATATGCTATGCCCTGTACCGTGCAGAGGGACCTTTCCTGCCCAGGCTCCACTGCCTGCTGATTTCAGGAGGTAGCTCCTGATGACCCGGGTGATCCCATGTCCTGTGTCCTTCCGTTCTGGTCCCACTTGGAAATGCCGGTTCTTCAGATCTTCTTCTCCTTGCACGCACCTAAGAACAGTGTACAAGTAGAGCTAGTCTAGAGATCACTGAAGTCACAAGATGGATTTTTGTGTGACACTAAGGAAGAAAATGAAAATTAGGTTGGTTATTGCAGGATAAATATAATTTCATATAAATTATTTTAAGTATTTTTGCTTTCATTCAAAGAGGTAAAGAAAATTGACAAAGTGAGAAAAAGCTGAATAACGCTTTTCTTTCCTTTTGTATTTCTTTTCAGGCTCCATCTATGAAATGTTTGGAAACGAATGCTGCCTGTCAACAGGAGAAGTCATTAAAGTTATTGGCTTCAAAATTAATAAGCTCATAGCAAGTATCTGTGAGAATAATGAAGTCAGCCAGTTTTCAGCCAAAGTGGAATTACCACTAAATTTTCCTGGTATAGTATTTCATGAATGCATGTTTTTGAGGAATGATAACCATGAGTAATCACTTTCGTTCATTTTATTGATTTGCTGTCTTGATTGGTATTTATTTGAGGTTACAACTCAGCTGTCAAGGATACAATTTTATCAGATGGCACAAGACACAATCAATTCATTTTTAAATTTCAACTCTTAAAGTTCTTTTTCAAGCCTGGATAGAAATTATTAATGTTATAATGTTTGGTAGCAATGGTTTCTATACTTGAGGTCACTCAGTGTAAGAATTATTACCAAAATCTTTTCAGTTACTTATGACTTTGCCAGACTTTGTCTGAGCTGAAACCTTGCTGTGTGCTCAGACTGTAATTTGTTTACTATTACTATATTTTTTCTTTTATTATATA